CAGGGTTGCCCCTGTGTTGTCACTTAAGAAGTGACAAGGAGAATTTAAACAAGTGATAGCTCTCTGCCTTCCTTAAGTAGAAAGTCACATAGAGGAGACTGGAACTTTGAAAGTCAGTCAAACATGAGCCATTTTAATATTAACACTTTTAAGAACGTGAACCCCAGCTTGTAGAAGGCTGCTCAAAGATTCTGAAGAACTGCTGAAGAGTTACACAAGCCCAACTTCTCATTATAGACATTGGGGCCCTTTTCTGTGGATGCTGGGAACATTATGTGCCCCTGTGGTTACAGAAGCGATCTAAGAGATCAGTTTTGTGAACATCTGTTACAAGTTATTGTCTGTTCTTCCTACTTTGCATTATTGCAGCAAAACAGAAATATTTGCAGGCATTCTGTTTGGGCTTGTCTCAAAATCATTCAGTTGCCCAGGCTATGAAAGAGGTTCAGGTATAGATTATGATTATGGTTCAGGTATAGATTATGCCCCATCTAGGTTATTTGCAGCTGCTGGGGTGCAAAGACACAAGCTGACTGCAGGGAAGAGTAAAAGGTAGCACTGGCCTGCCTTTGCAGGCTGTCAGAGTGGCTTTTACTGCTCAAGTGTTTCCCAACCCTGTTACTGCCCAGTGTGTGTAACAAGTGACATTGGTGCACGCAGGGGAGTAGGGCAGAGGCAGGAGGGAGAGTGTCCTCACACCCTTTTGCAACAACTGCACGTTTCAAGTTCCTCAGCTGTGCTGAGAGGAAGTGGTTATTCAGTCTTGCTGCCATTTCAGGAAGATTAAAGCTCCAGTAAACTTTCCCTGAGAGAGTCACCTGGAAACCACAGAGGTAAAATTTAATATTTGCCCACTGTCTATCAAAGGAGATACCACCAGGGGAAACTTAGAACAAAGTGGGTGCAACCTGAGTTGAGGAGAAAGGCCAGACCCGTGCAGTCCCCAGTGCACAGGAGTTACCCTGGCCAGCACACACTTTTCCCCCTCAGTGGTTGTTGTTGGGAGTTGAAGACTGACATTTTGAAGGAGGGGGTGTGGTGCCGTGCAACCGGTGCGTGTAGGTGCAACAAAACAAAGCCTAAAAACAGTTCACAAAATAAGCTGTCACTCATTCTTTGGGTGATGAGGTAGTTGTGTTCATCAATTTTTTCCACTGTCCCCAGGACCTGTCACCATGCCGAGAGTTTAGGGGATTCCGTACCTGGTTATCAAAGGATAGATCTTGTGTGGGAGGGGAAAGCCTGCCTGCACCCCACATTGGTTCCTGGTCTCAGCCACAGACTTTATTCTCTGGAACTGCCTGGTCTAGTCCATATCTTTGTCTTGGTGTTCCTTTAAAACAAATGATACCTTATTCCCCTTTCCAGACCCTCTCTGCTCAGTGGCAAGTGCTCCAGAGCCATCCTCTCCATTCCTGGCTTGCACATGGCAGAAACCTCCTGGGCCATCAGGGTCCCCTCCTCCTTGGGCCAAGCTGATCACCAGTGCCCTGTTTATTTTGGAGTGTCTCTCTTGCAAGAGGACTGGCCCTGAGAAAGTGCCACAGGGGAAAGTGATGATGTTACTGCTGGAGCTGAAATGTCTTTCATTGACCTCTCATCACTTTAATAGAAGAGGTACTTGAAGAAGCAAGAAGGGCAATTGCATGGTGTTTTTGGGACCAAGTTTGGTGATTAGAGGCACTCAGCTGGGCTGGCCAGTGTCACAGCCTCTGGGTGACATTGAACTGATGGTGAATCCCCAAGAACCATTTTTGTGTTTGACAGAGATTGGAACAAAAAAAGCACTTTTGCACTTTGGCAAAAGTGGGCTCTGATAATGGGAAAGTGGCCTGCTCAGAAAGGAGAGACTGGAGGATAGAGACACCCCTTCTGACAGCAGGCAGGATCAAAGGAAGGGGCCTTTTCCTCCAGAGGTGTCTGCTTCCCATCTGCCTGCTGTCCCTGGGAGTGACACAAGCTCTGTCCTTCCACCTGGGGAGGTAAGAACAGGCCTTGCAGAAGGTGGAGCAGGTGTTCAGTGCTGAGGTCAGAAGGGGAGCTGAGAATCATTAAATTAGATCTGCGTCACTGAGGGCAAGCTCAGGTGGTGGGAAAGAGGAGTAGGATGCTCTATTGGACTGTGCTCAGCTGTTTGTGTGAGTTGCTCCACATCCCACCTGCCCCACTTTCTCTTGGTAGGTGATGATTTTTCCTGGAGTGTCTGTGGACCTTTACATGCCTCCCTAGAGGTCTGAATTTCCCTGAGATGTGGTAGTGATAGAACAAGGGCTGATTCCTCTGTGGGTGTCTGAGCTCATTTTTTTGCTTGTTTTCCCTGTTGAATGAGCTGGGCTCAATTGGTCCAAGATCTGAGCATCTCTCACCTCCCCACCTGTGAGTCCTACAAGAGATGGAGCCCCTGCCCTGTTGGAGCATGGTCTGAGACCTCCTTCCTGATTTGCACTGGGCAGGAAACAAACAGGGTTTTGTGAGTGGGACCAGCCACAGTGGGGCTGCTCCCAGAGCTGGTCTGTGTGCCTGTGGCTCCCTCCTCCTGGGGTCCAGCTGGTGGGTGCAGGTGGCTGGCTGGTTGAAATTGCAGCTGGCACAGCCCAGGGAGAGCTGTGGGGGCACAGCTGGAGAGAGATGACAGCTCATCACCTTGCCCTTGGTGCCATCAAGGCCCTGTTCCCATAGTGTAGGATCTTGTCTCAGCAGAGAAGGTAATTGGGTATCACCCATGTCCAGACTGCCGTGGAACTGAGAAACTCACTGTTCCGTTCTGATGTGCCCTTTTGGGCTGTGCAGGGGAATTTTGGGACGTGGCTGAAGGAAGCCTGGCCTGCAGCAGGAACCAAGAAGTTAAGCAAGGCATGGGATGTTCCAGTGCTGGCCAAAGAGCTGGTGGGGCACACACCAGGCTGCCTGTTGTCCCTCCTGTATAAAGGGCCTGTGATATTTGTGTGTAACCAAGGTATCTGCCTATGAATAAAAAAAAAGAATTAAAATCCTTTTTATAGGAAGACAGATTTGATGAGTGCAGGATGGGGGAGGAGGGTCCCACTGCTCATTCTTCCCTCCCACTCCTTCAGAAATGAGAGGTATGAGTGTGGTGAAGTACACACTTCTAGAACACAGCAAAAAGACCCATTCAAAATCAGCTGTCTCTTAACCCCCCATCTGATTCAGTGTTCTCCATACCAGAGCCTCATGTGCCATGGAAAGCTCTCAAGCTCCCGAGGAAGGCTCTTGGCCCCATACACCCTTCACATGTTGTGGAGTGTTCCTGCACCAGCAGCTTCTTACCAGCAAGTGTAAAAGGAGGGGTAAAAAGTGGACTAATGAGAAAGGGGAATAACTCACTGAGCAGCAGTGGGAGTGGAGACACAAGTGCTGTGCCACCATGCCTCTTGGGATGTTGGTGCCTCCAGCAGCTCCTGTGTAAGCAGTTCCTGCAGCACCCTGTAAATCCCCAGCTGACCTTGCTGGAGCCCTGAGCCCCAGGACAGGCTGCTTCAGGGAGTGCTTCAGTGAGGGTGCTGGGCTGTGTTCTGCCCTCAGAGAAGAATCCAAGGCATCAGGTAAGAAGGCAGGAGTGCTTAGCCTTGTATCCCATTGCTCTGCTGAGGTCCTGCTGGGCTGACCTAGTGCTTCATAAGCCTTTCTTACACTTTAGGTCTTTAGCTGAAACACCCTCTGTGTCCCAGCTGATAGCTACTGGGGCATAGTACTATGAAATATTACTACAGCATACTTTGAATTCACATAGATTTTGTAGAAAAAGCATTTGAGACTTCCCTTTTTTAGAATGAGAAGCACTGCTGTTCTGAGTATAATGGTGTGGCATCTTGTTTGGAATTTCCCTTGCTTTCTATATATACACATGCAGCAAAGCCACAGGAAATGGAAGTTTTAAAAAAAAGCATAGAGCATAGGTATCTGCTTCTTGAACAAATTTTATTCTTGTAGTTGGTTTTACTATTAGTGAGCACTTATCTTGAGGCATCATTTAAGGTTTATTTTAAAAGATGTGATATCCTAAATCATTGAAGCCTGAAGCAGACATGGACTTAGAAGTTGCATGTTGTTTGAGAAACCTTTTAGGCTCTATATTGCCCATGCTACAAGAAAGAGCATTATTGTTGATCTTTTCTCCCTTGGGGCTTTTGGGGTAGGGACCAACTTCTGAGGCTTCTTGCATTTGTATTTTCTAAGGTGCTGTGAGTCAGTGTTGCCTACAGCTGCTGTCGTGATTGTGTGCTGAGGGCCCACTTCTGCATGGCAACCAGCATGGTTATTAGTAAACAGCCTTTACTTCAAAATCCCGAGCAAAGTGCATTGTAATTGAGGCCAGGAGAAATGAGAACAAGCTTGCCAGCAGCTGGAGATTCTACAGTCTCAAAATCTCATTGCTGGTGAGGTGAGACAGATCCTCAGGAGCTGAGTTGCCCTGGGTCTGGGCTCAGGTTGATTTGGAGAGCAAAAGTGAGGAATGGTCATTTGGTGAAATTTTAGAAGGGACTAATCATGAAGGTAATGGACAAATCCATCTTGGCAGCTTTTAATATGTTAAGACACATTCCTACAAGTCCCAGAAGAGGCAGTTATCCTACCTGCTCTCAGCCTCTGTGGAACTGCAGTGTCTCTGTCTGCTTTCTGCCTGGTATTGGCACACATACACTGCAGTACAGGCAGGGCTCACCTGAATGAGAGATCTACAGAAGCCTAAACAGGCATTAACTTTGCCTGAAAACAGGGCTCATTTCTCTTGGTTGCCTTTGTTACCAATACAGAAAATGAGGAACTGAGCCCCATCCATACAGTCAGACAGTTTTTATGTATGATTTCAAGAGTCTCTTGTGTGAGGATGTCTTTGTGCAATTTTACAGATTATGTGTTTCAGTAAACGAGTGTAGTACAAATGGATAATGAAAGTTCACAAAGTTTATGCTACTGAAGCTCCTTTCACTGCATGCAGTTACTTTCTTACTCATTATGCCTTTATTGCTTTCTTTTAGGAAAAGAGCTGGGTTCCTGTTGCTATTCAACCAAGCAGACACTCTGTTTGGACAACCATCCAACAAGAAGAGAGCCACCCGTGTGAGGCCAGAAGGAGCTTTTCTTAATTTGAAGCGTTCAAAAATGCTGGAAACTCACAGCCACTTTCACTTCAGTGTTGGGATAGTGGAGCTGACAAGTTTTATGCATTGTGGTCTACAAGTTGAGAAATGTGACTGGTGAAGGTAGGGGGTGGTGGCAGTTGCTGGGCATGCCTTGGTTGTGTATGCTTTGCCTGGTGAGGAGGGGGCAGGTAAAGACTTTGTAGTGTTTTATCAAGAGACCTACCGGTGAATTTGGTGTAAAAGTCAAAGCACTGCATGACAGATAACTTTTCTTAGGAGCATTAGTTTATGGCCCATCATGTGAAACAAACATTTGCATGTAAGACAGTGGTAGTTCTTCGTAGTGTAACATTTCTTGGGTAAGCCAGAACAAGAAACAGTCATGCTTTTTACCAGCTGGGGGAAAAAAAAACCCAAAAACCTCAGTAGAGGTAAACTCAAACAGTTCTGAAGAGAGGCATTTTTGTACAGAAAACCAGCAGACCTGTCCTAGATTTATGCCACAGGTAGTCAAATGCCAGTCCTCATTTATTGCTCCTGTTGTTTTATGTGGTAGCTGTAACCTGTGCTTGATCTGTAACTTTACCTGTTTTTGTTTGTTGGTCCAGTGTTGTCCTTGCTGGAGGTATATCCAAGTTTCCTAGCACTGAAGTGCTCCCCTTTCCCAGGATTAGTGTGAAACTAACCTCTGCTTTGACTAGGGACTAATTCACAGAATTTAAATCCACAAGAATAGGCACTGTTAATTTTTGTGTACTGCACATTCTCCTATCTAATTCCTGCATCTATTTCTTATTAGAAATTACTGTTTCTTATTGTAGGTCAGTCTATCCAACTATACCCACAGGGATTAACATAAATGGAAACCTACAGCAGACTTCAGCTTCTGATGTATATTAAAGCAGTCATCATCTCAATGCAATTCAAAAAGGTATTGCCAAGTCCTATTACTTTACTGTTCTGTTTGTGTTCTTAGGTGTCTTCTAGTGTGAATCAGTACAAAACTCAAGTCCCTGTTTTGCTGTATCAATCACTGGCATTATCATACTGATAAACACGGAAGCTGTAAACCAGGCTTGTCTAATGAGAACAGTCAAAAAAGTAAGATTAGTTTATGCCACAGGAAGTTTAATCATGTTTCTCAGCTTATATTCTCTGGGCTGCATCTGATCTCTAAGACCTTAAAAGGCAATGTAAAAAATGGTCACTAAAAAAAAACCCCAGAACTTCTGCATGTCTGTGCATGTTGTGTTGGGAAAAACAAGCTGGTAGTGAATGACAGGATTGCAGTCAGTTGTAGATAAGATTAATAGTAACCATTGCTGCATGCAAGGGCCCAGGCACTGCTTTTGGTAATATCTCACGTAAGAGTGGCATCAACCATCATCTTCCTTTGGGCCTGCAACAGAACCCAAAAAGGAAATATCCAGAAAAAAAATCCACATTCCTTTTGAAGTGTGGAATGTGGAATGAAGCAAAGCAGAAGACGAAAGTTGTTTAAAAAGTGTTGTTAGAGAAAACAAAGTAAGTTTTCTTTAGTTATGAAGTGTCATGATTGCACTAGGCCTTTACTTTCTGTCCCATCCTCAACTCTTGCTCTGACACAGTGAGAAAACAATTTCAGCTTCACCTGGAGCTAAGGCTGCAAAAACCTGTGGCACTCTTATATTTGTACACTTTAATTGCTCATACTCCTCAAAACAGTCCCCTGCTATTTGCTGCAGCTCTCTTGAGTGCAGACAGGATAAGAAGAAATTTAAGTTAGCATTGACATAGTCCCATGCAAGGTAGGGGGTTAAATGTGTTCCTGTGCCTCTGAAATGTCACTCCTGCGTTCAGAGATGAGGAGTGATTTTTTTTTCAACATATTTGAAAATAGTCTGAGAAGCTGGTTATCACTAAAGTAATGAAATAACTCATATCTGAAACCATGACATTTAATTAGCCCTTAGTATAGTCACTATTCCACATTTAAATACTTACACCAAAAGAGATTTCTTGGACCCCTTTTGTAGTAAAGCAAATGCACAATCACTTTTATTATAAAAATAATCGTTAGGTCAAATAGGAATACAAACAATAATTCCACAAATATACATTTACAAATCTGTAAGATAAACACTTATGGCACAGGCAATATAAATATCCCTGTACCTGGTTTCTGTGCAAAAAAGGCAGGCTAGTTTTAGTCAATAACCAGCCCTTTTACGTTTCTGTACTTCTTCTGATTTCAGTTAAACAGAAGGATTTTCAGATGAGATGTCTGAAAGTTCAGCTTCAAGAGTCAAGAAAATACTTTCACTTTTAATCCAGGTAAAGCCCAATAAGATTTTTCCTATCTTCTGCCAAAATATTCCTTCCTGTTCTTCAGCCTGTATTTTTTGGAAGAGGAGGAAAATTTCAAGTTCAGTACTTTTTTTTCACAAGCCATCAGACTCTGGTAGAGAATTGGACCCAAATAAAGTCAAGCTGCACTCCGAAGCTAAACTACCACCGTAGGTTTCAGTTTAGTTTGTAGTAGAATCTCCATTACACTTGCTTTCCTTGTAGCTGTCAAAAATAGTTCTTCAGGAAAACTTTGCTTTCTCTTGAAGCCCTTCACACAGTCCAAGAGAAGGCAAAATCAAGTAAGAGGTAGATATTGTTCATCCTCCTAATTCCCCAGAGCTCTCCATTTGAATTACTCTGTTTTAGGACTGTAGGAGACACATGTATAGAGCAAGTTTTATGTCTATCAAGTAGTGATTGACTTACACCCCTCACATCCTGTGGTCACTGACAACATTCAGCAACGTGCTTGAGGAATTCATCACCGAGTTCATCACTGAAAAACCTCATGCAATGAGGGCATCTGAGTTCACCCTGTGCCCTGCCTTCAGATCCCAAGTTTCCATTGTCCCCAGGAGGAGAAGCTTGTTCAGACTGTGAGTTTGTTCTTCTCTTGCCTGTCTGGCCTGGGCTGTTGCCCCGTAGGTGTTCGACATTCGTCTGAACGTACAAATGATTTTGGTTACCAGCGTGAACTCTGAAATGACTACTTGTGTCTCTTGAGTCCTAGAAAGAGAAAGAAGAGCTCTTGAAAAAGATGCAATAAAAATACATTTTTTAATGGGTGATATTTTATCACCTTGATCTGAAGCACCACTCAAATGTTTAGCTGAGGACTTCTAAATAAATTATCAATCAGTTTTTGCAGTGTTATTAATATTGTTGTAAAGAAGGTTTGTAGAAAACACAGAATACAGCCAGTGTGCTAATTTAAAGATGCCAAGAGTCATGGCTGTCCTGTGCCTTCTAAGAATTCACCCTTCCAGTGTTGATCCAAAAGCAGAAGAAAAAGGGACTGGAAAGGGGTATTGCACCTGAACTGGGAAGCATCTCCACCAGAACTATGAAACAATCAAAGTTTTTGATAGCTGCTGAAACTGTTTTGGAAATACTAAGATATTTTTAAAATATATTTAAAAGTATATTTCAGTCCCAAATCCTGTGGACATGCTTAAAGAAGGAGCATGCCGCTTTCTTACCTGTCTTCTTGCTAGCTGGTGTTGAAGACATGCAATTTCTGCCTGAAGTTCTTGTATTTTACTCTGTGCTCGTTCTCTGTCTGATCTCTCAGATGTGAAATCGTCTTTATAAACCAGGACCTGAAATAGAATTATTATGTTAATATTTTATACACTAGAGCATTAGCAGGTTAGATTGAAAATCTGAGACTGATTCCCTTGTTACTTAATCCCAGAATGTCAGTATTATTTTCTCTATCGTGTATATATTTCAAAGGTGTTTGTATTTCTTTTACAGATCTTTCATATTCTGTATTAAGGCCAGCAGAACTGCATGGGGTTCTTTAAGTAGTGAGTTTCCTTTAAATCTGTGTTGTTAAGTATCTGTGTAGCCAAATGTGCACAGACAGGCAAATGTCCAAAAAAGAAATCCCTTTTTCCCCCTTAGACTTCAGTGGTCTGGGAAGAAACTAAGAATTCCCATCTCTAGGAAAAAGAAACGTAATGACCTGTTGCTCCAGCATTTGTATGCGCTCATTATCTCCTTCACTAGCCTTCTTCATGTCTTCCAGTTCTCTCTTGGTTTTTATGCACTCATTCATTTTCTCTTCCAGTAGTTTGTTTAACCGGAATATCTCCTTGTGCATCAGGTCAGAATTCCTTTGTGCTGGAGCTCCTCCATGGTGCTGGTCCAGCTGTGACTTCATCTCCTTCAGCTGCAGGTGGAGGCGCTTCACGTACTCATCCCTGCTCGCGTCGTACTTCTGCCATTTTGCATTTAAATCTTCCACCTGAAAGTTTTTCCAGGAGAGGCATGAAGAACAGGGAGACACAAACTTCCAAGCTTTCATAGGCTGTCTGTATGTGCAGGACCAAAATCCTCTAGGGGATAATGTCCCATGCTGACTCGACCCCTGAGGGCGAGTAAGGCACTGCACAGGGGAGCAGGAGATGATTGCGCAGACTCTCCATGGGCAGCCTTCCCATCTCCCAGTCCAAAGGGACAGTATTAAATAATGTGGAAAGGGAGGGATCTAGTGGGCCTAGATCCATGAATACTGATCCATGGAAGGAGCATGAAAATTTTCTTCTGCACTGTATTTTTAAAAACAAAAATCCAGTGTGTTAGAAATTATCTAATAAGTTGTTCTTAGCTAAGGGAACAAAAACTATGTGCTGCGTTGAAAGGACTAAGAAAAACTCTTGCTTTGTAATTGCCATGTAATTAGATTAACCAGATCTATTCCAAATTTACCCTAATACAAAATACTTAACAAATATTAATCTATATTAATATTAAAAATGAAAGTACTCACGTGAGCTACTTTTTGTTTTAACATCCTGTTTTCCTCTTGTAAGTTGCAGATAAGAGCTTGAAGTGAAGTTTCATTGTCTAAAAGCTGTAATTTTCAGATAAAGTTAGGTGTTACTTTAACATAAAAATCTCAGATGCTGTATGGCTGTGCTGTTAACTGGAAGTAATCTTTTTTTTTTTTATTGTGATGTGTAATGACATACATCTAGGTTTTTATGACCTTGGTACTGCTATTAAATAAACCTCATGACAACAGTGTTTAAGAGTTTACACAAAACTACTTGTCTGGAGTGGGAGAATACATGACAAAGGCACAGATATGCCTTCGTATTGCTTTGTTATTACTGTCAATTTTGGCCAGTACTAGGAAGAAATTACTGAGGGGAAAAAACCCTGCTTGCTAAATAATTGACTAAAATGATACCTCTCTTTTACAGTTGTGACATCTGCTTAAAAAAACCCCAGTGTACGTGAGTAATATAGAACACTTTTGTGCAAAATTCCCTAGAATCAGCTAGTAATGGCATCTGAAATTTCTCCTCTTCAACAGGGAAGTCCCCACTCTACAAGGTTAGCTTCTTATTGCATATATCAAAGTCAATCAAGTTTCCTGTCTATCAATTACACGTTAAATATGATAATGCCAAATGCTTAAAAAGTCCTTTTTTCTTCTATCTACTCAATTTCTTACAAGTAACTTTAATGTAAGTTTTTAAAAGTCCTTTTTTCTTCTATCTACCCAATTTCTATTTCTTACAAGTAACTTTAATGTAAGTTTTCTTTGGAAACATTTCTGGGATGTTTGATAAAGCAGACAGGAGTATGTATAGAATTCATCACAACAGCACAGATGAGTGGTCATGTGGAAAACAGCACTACCACGGTGTAGCAGTAAGAGCATAAGTCAGAATTACTCATTTTTGTGAGAACTGTCTGCAGCACCCTACTCACTGCTCTGATCTGTTACTAGAGGCAGCACTGCTAATGTTATTTCCTTATGGTGTTTTAATGAATTACCTCATTTTAAAGAATGTTTAATGAATGCTCTTAGCCATCAGGACTTCTGGAACAACAGAACAATGATCTACCTTTACTCCATGCTGAGAACTCTAACTGAAGCCCCAACAGCCATTAGCAAAGTACACTAAAATCCAGGTGTTTCTTTGTGCCCTGCAGTAGCCCTTCTGACACTGTCCTATTATGAAGCTTTTTTTTAAAACATCCCTCTTGAAGAGAGCCATTGCCCTGCACTCAGAGGCCAGGGGGAATCCCAGAGCAAAAAAAAAAAAGGTAAGACATCTTGGCTCATATTCCACTAACCAACTTTCTGTAGGTCTGTACTATGTGTGCAAAGCCAAATCCTGATCCAAGAAGACCACATGTTACAGAGTTCTTCATATAAATACTACTTTGAAATATCTCTTCTTTGTTTCATGATTTTGATACTTAAACTAAGTAATCAGGAGAGATTGGCTTCAAAATCACAGCACCATCTAGTGCTGCATGGAAGCAGGGGTGGTATAAGGTAGGTACTGTCTCCTGTGTATTGAGGGAAGAACTGTGATCATGGAATTGCTGAGGCTGGACAAAACCTCTCAAGCTCTTCTCCTCTCCAAAAAAGCCTCTGATGATGAGATGGCCAAAGTTGAAGTGGTAGACAACTGCTTCCATCCTAAATTTCAGATAGGCAGAATTATTTACCATTGCCATGGCAGTCTTAACACCCTACATGAAATTATTTAAAGGGCTGTTCCCACCATTCCCCAGTTACAGCTATCATACTGTAATTAACATCTCAGAAGCTAATAAGATTTTAAAGACACACACAGTAGCTGTAAGAATACCTGATTAGATCTTTCTGTAGGTATCTGGTCATCTGAATTCCCCTTCTCTTTTCTTTGCTTCTCTTCTAGACATTTTGCCAGATGTTGACACATTTCTGCTGTGGATGCTAATTTGCGTTGAAGCTGGTGAGTTTCGTCAGTGAGTGAACGGCACAAAACATCACTGGTGGCCTGAGCCTTCTCCCTCTCTGCCAAAGTCTTCTGCAGTCGTAAGATTTCTCTCTCTTTTTCATATGGAGGCTGATTTATCATCTGCTGTATCTCTCCATTTTTCTCCTCTAGCTGCTGACTCAACTTCTGCACTTCCTAAACAGAGGGGGGAGGAGAAGTTATTTAAAAGCAAAATAAAGTCAAAAGCCAAAATATATTGTCTTCGACTGACTTCAATATTGCAGTAATTCCTTATTGCTCCTGTACTCATTGCAAAGTACTTAAAAAGTAGACTAAATCAATTTCATTTCTGTATGATCACAAGATCTTGGAACTGTTGGAACAATCAATCAAGAAGTGCTCAGGCAGCCATGCAAGCACTTTCTAATCAGTAGAATGGAGGAACAAGCAGCAAAAAATCAGGAAGATGTTAGGACTATACAGCAGCAACAAAAACAAGAAATAAAGTAATTTAAGATGAATAACTGTGGAGACTGAAAAATACTTACAGGTCCTGTACACTAAACTACCAGATAACAGAGATTTTCCTCAACAGAAAAAAGGAACTGTTAAGTCATCAAATCCAGTGAAGTGCATTCACTGCCTGGCACTGTCACAAGGACAAAACAGAGCAACTTTCCCACCCAGGAAAGGATGGGAATGGTTAAGGTAAGGACAAACAAGCAGAAAATAAAATCCATGTGGCGTCAGTGGCTCTAGTTTGGCTGCAGCTGATTCCCAGCTATGTGAGGGGGTCTGACACACCCCTGGGAACAACTGTGTACCTTGTTTCTGCATCTCCTTGTCCTGTTAGGAGCTCTGAGGGATCAACCACACTGCACTAACATCTCTGCAGGTGTTTGGAGAAGGAAGAGGTTTGCTTGGTGACTGGTGCAAACCACCTGTAGTTCCATGCACCCGAAAGGCACTGGTTCTGGCTTTGTAAACAAACAAGCTGGTTTTTACACACCCTCAAGAAGCAGCAGATGTTGGTACCAGAAACCTCTGCTGCACTGCTCCTCCAGCATCGAGCATCTCTGGATGCCAGTGCAGGCCATGAGACAGCTACAATCCCAGCTCTACCATTCCAGTTCTCAGGAGTGCTAATAGAGCTGTAACTCACCAGGAACACTCTTTTCTAGCACACTGGCCTCTGGCTTCACAAAAATGTCTTTTTTATTTGGTTATTATTTAGTGCCAATTATTTCAGCGTTCTGATGGAGCACAGCATTTTATTCTTTCAAGAAATAAAAATTAACATCTGACATAGACAAACAGCACTTGTTCTTACTACTGACATTTCCATTCTTTAGCTTCATGCTGAATGCTAAACTTCCCCTTTAAAGATATTCAGCATCAGCCTTTCAAATATGTTCAGATACCATAGGTTTGTCATCTGTCTGCAAAGTGTCAGTGAGATCATCTCTTATAACAAATTTCCAAACATGAACTTTTTAATATGTATTTTGGGTGAGTGTCATATATGGAAAATGCTTTGTATAAGCATTAAGTCAAGAGACTACTTATGACAAAAACACTTGTTTCAGTTTTAAGTACTGCTGCTCAGTTTGGAAATTACTTCATGCAGCTAGAAATAAATGCTTTAAAAATCTTTGAGAAATTCAGACTGAACCTGGGAAAGTCTTAATGACAGTAACCAAAACAGCACTTGTGCTGGATGGGGAGGGATGCTGTTTTCAGGTTTTTTTCTTTCAAGAAAGGTACTGATTTCGCTAGTCCATCTCTCCAGACTTCTCAGTTACTTCTTCAAATAGGAATGTGCTACCTCACTGTCAATACAAAAATCCATTTTTAAGAGCACTTCAAACAAAACACTTTAATAGAAAAATTCGTGGCATAAGCTGATTATCTTTAAGAACAAAACTGTTGTAACTAATAAATTCATGGAGTTTTTTTACTGTTTTTCTTTCTCCTTATGAAAACAGTTGCATGAAGATCTATAGCGCCCTGCTAAGTTTTTGGTTTAGCATTCTGTCGTTTGCCTTTTTGAAGTGAACGCAGGGGGCGCCACCTTTGGACACAAACGGGCGCGTTGCTTCGGGCGGCCGGGGATGGAGCGGGCATCGCTCGAAGGGGCCCAAGCCCTCGCTCAGCCGCCCCAGCTGCTCGCAGCTCCAGCGAGCGCTGCGGGGCAGAACGCGCGCAGCCTCCGCCCGCGGCGCCGCTGCTGCCCCGCCGCGCTCCCGAGCAGAGAGCTGCGCCCTCCCTGCGCGCCCGCGGCTTTACCTGGCTCAGCGCCTCCACTCTCCGCGCCGACAGCCGCTCGCTGTCCCTCAGCTGGTCGCGGGTCTGCTCCAGCTGCTCCAGCAGGCTCTCCACCAGCGAGCGGGCCGGCTCCGCGCCCGCCGCCGCATCCCCGCCCGGCGCCGGGGGCTGCCGCTGCCGGGCCAGGCTGCCCCGCAGCTCCCGGATCGTCGCCTCCTTGGCCGCCAGCTGCAGCTGGAGGTGCTTCAGCTGCTGCGCGGACTCGTGGTACAAGGTGCAGAGCGCGTTGTACCGAGGCACTTTATTCTTCAAGCTCCTGTTCTCCCGGTGCAGCTTCTCCAGCGTCTCCTCCACCTGCCTGAAGCGGGTCACCAAGGGGTCTGTGCTGCTGGCCTCGCTTACCGAGCACATGGCCGGGCCAGCTCCCTTCTGTTCCTTCTCCAGGGCGAGCGGCAGCCCGGACAGGTGCATAAAACCCCGGAGCGCAGCAGAACCGAGGCAGCGGCTCCGCTCTTCCGCCTTCCCCGCCGGGGGAGGAGGCAGCCGCTCCCTTTAAGGGCTCGCAGGACCCGCCTGTGCCGCTGCTTCTTTCTGCGGCTGGGGCCGGGCCGCGCCGCGCTCCGCCCTCGGGGGAGAGCCCCGGCCGTGCCGAGCTCTTTCCCCCGCGGCCCGCGCGGGATGCGGCCCCGCGGCAGCGCTGCCCGGGGAACCCCGGCAGGGGCGAGCGGGAGAACCGGCACCGGGGGCGGGGGGAGAAACCTGGGGGCGAGGGAGCGGGGCGAGCGGGAGGTGCCGAGGGCACGGGGGAAGTCCCGGCTGGGCGAGGGCAGTGCTGGCCGGCGGCTGCAGGAGCGGCGTGAGGGGAGCAGGGCTCCTGGCGCACCGAGGGTCGCTCGGGGGCTGGCGGGCGGCGCCGGCTCCGCGTTGCGAAAGCCCCGGAGCGCCGCGTCCTGCCGGCGCCGCTGCGGGAATTCCCGGCTCGGAGCGGGACTTTCCCCGCTGGCGGCGACCCCCGGGCTCTCCGCTCTCCCGGGGCAGCAGCAGGGAGAGAAACGCCCGGGAATCCTCGGACGGTGTTGTGTGTGCATCGGTGGCGAGGCGATGGCTCCGCAGCCAGGCAGAGCAGCGCTCCCCCTCGCAGGCCGCGGACCTGTGCAGGTGTAGGAGATTCCTTAGCAAAGACCTCCAACAGACCAAAATCTTCGGTGGTCTAAATCTGTATAACCAGCCAGTGTTTATACTCTCAGGGTGAGTTGATGAGAGCAAAACCAGCTGCTTGACACTGAATAAACTGCTGCCCACTGGGCCCCTGTGGTGGAGAACATTTTTATTGGCAGTGTAGAGGCAGAACTTGTTAATCAAGAATATCACTGTCAGGAAGGAACACTGGTGTACGTACTCATATGTAAGCTGGACTGAGAGAAAGCATATTTTGGATTGGTTTAGTTATGTCCACGTTACCATTCTGATGGAACCAAGTGTGAGGAAAGAGCCTTAAAGCAGTACAAAAATGAGTCCCAGGTTACATTTGGTTGTTGTTTGCAATAGCATTTATTGCGTGTACGTGTATGCTCGTGCATCACAAGGTGCACAACACGGAGCTCCGCGTGTGCGCACGGCCTTGGTGCACGAGGTTCAGCACAGCCACAGGAGATGTGTCTGGCCTAAGTGCCTGAAAAACAGCAAGCGAAAATCACCACATGCTGCTGGTGGAGGCAGCAAAAAGAGAAGACTTCAGACAATGTGGTAGAGAGCAGTCTCCTGTGTTAGCAGGTCTCAGGATAAAAAGACAGCAGTGAGTAATTTGTGTGGAAGAATTTACAGGAATGGGAACATGATGAAAGGAAAAGATGGTGAACTTCACAGTTGAGACTGTCAGTCACCCTGGTGATGGCCAAAGACCTCCTGAGGCTCCTCTTAACACGAATTATCCTGTGATTCAATCAAGTATTTTGAGGTGAAAAGTCATTACTTTGTCACCTTAATTATTCTAGTAAGAATTAGGAATAATAAATTCAAAACAGTCTGTTAGCTTAGCTGTTTCTAAAAATATAACTGAATTTTATAGAAGTTTATTTCACAGAAGACCCTGTGTAACAAAAGGGTAAAGCACTTGTTTGTGGTACAGGTCCCTGGCATATTTGCTATTTCATCTAATTTTCTAAATATCAAATTATTTAGGACAATGGAAAATGTGTGGAAGATGAGGGAATATAATTTTTTGTATTTTACTTATACAAAGTTATATTTTACACCCTTGAGACGCTGATTTTGTGAAGAAGGTAAAGTTCCTGCTTTAAAATACCTGTACTTTGTCATTTTCACATACATTAGAAAGAAAAGTGAAAAAAAACACATAGACTTCACGTTACATTTTCATTATTGTGTTACAGTCAGAGCTAACTGAAGAATTTGGAGCAAGATTGTTTTGCTGACTGTCAAAATATTTTGTAGAAACGTATGATGAATCCGTGGCACTGGAGATATATTTGGTTTCCTACCAATTAATTAGAAAACTACAAGGAAACTCAGCCATCCCATCTTTGCAGATGGGGCAGTGATATCCTCAAACCAAGCATCAGGGAATTTACTCAGCTGCAAAATAGAATCCTTT